CCTTACCTCTCCCCTTCCGAAATAATAAAAAACCACATACCATCATCAAAGGCACTAGCATAAGAGCATTTAGTGATTTTGCTCCTGGACGAAGTCTGCTCGTAGCAAACAATAAAATTCCAGAAAAAGCACCAGAATAGTCAACAGTAAGTATTGAAGTGCGATAGAAACCCTGCATTATCAAATATCAAATCTGGTCCCACATGGAAAATCACTTACCCTGATGTCAGCCCAATAATCAAACGGATCATCATCACGTTTTTGTTGAGTGATTTCCTTTTCCATATTGGTTTTCCCGCTAAAATGGAATCCACTAACTGACATGCCAAGTATTAGAAGTAAGTAGAGAGCGCAGGGTACGGTAACGCACAGCCTTGAGATGACTGTACCTATGTTGTTGGGGCATCTGTAACGGGAAAGTTTTCGGAATTTTTTTCAAAGCTTTAAAAGCGAAATTTCTTCTGGAAATGACTTACTTTATCAATAAGAAGTATATAGTGGTCCATATTATTGCGTGGGCGATCATAAGAGGCAGCTGGGGAAAAGTGAAAAAGAATTGCGATTTGGAATTGCCCAAAAACCATTCGTTCGGCTCCCATACAGCAGAGATATTGACGGCTGGATCGTTTCCTCGAATGACATAGCTGAAAATATTTCCCATATAATATTTTTATTCATTAGCAAAGTCTTTTTCAACAGTGTGTGTAGGTCATGGACTTACGGAGGCTAAATTTCTATCTAGATTTAACGGTCATATATAAGTTCACAAACTTTTGAGATTCAGGGGAGCCGTTTTCTGACCGAAGATATAATTCACTATTCTTAAAAGGTTTTTATTATAGATTAGAGGTAATTTCGTGCATATAAAGCTTATAATTTATGAACCAGCTGACCAAATGACAAATTTTAATGATTGCCAAATTGAACGCCTGTAAGAAAGAAAAACCAGAAACTCATAATGTAGCAAAATCGTTCAGAATCTCAATAAGTGTGTTTTTTACAAACTTATCATAAAACGCTACAGCAATGAAGTACTATGAGTTTGGAAATAAATTTTTCAATTTCATGTTCTAAATTTCAAGTTTCAACTTCATAATCATGGCACACAACTTTTTGTTAAAATAAGCTATCAAACCGAAAGAGTTGTAGAAAGTATGTACCAAAACGGTTAGAAAAAAAAGTTTGCTTCTTGCGAATCTTCAATGATAAT